GTTCCTTGGAAATCCTATAAGGGGTCGATATGAGTTGGAACCAACTTCAAAGCACTTAACAACATGTTTATCTGAAATTGAAGAGAACCCAAATCCAAATAATAAATATGTACAATGTTCTATGGTACAGATAATAAATTCAAAAGAGGGAAAGATCCGTGATAACTGGAGTAGATCAAATTGACTTCATAAAGAAGAAAACATGTAAATCAGAAGCAGAGAACAAAAAGATGTGTTTTTTTCCTTTCCTCAGTTACAAAGGCAAAAAAAGTGTTATCAGTGTAGAATGTTCGTAAAACCTTAATTAAAGTGGATTAGGATTATTTAAGAATTTGATGGCTAGACAGTGGAATTGACATTTTATAATAGGAAGTATAGCGCTAATAACACTTTGGGGTCAGGGAAAGGACAAAATGAAGGAATAATAATAAATCTTAAGTGTTTCATGGAAATTTTGTAAAGGATTCATTCTTTTTTTTTTCCATTGAAGAAGAAAGGTTATTATATCTCGAAAATGTTACTCAAACATATTTTTCATTTATAGAAAAGGCAACTAAAGTTTTTTTTAAAAAGCCTCTTTTGCTTCACTTCATGCTGCCATATAGCCATTAAGGAGGAAGTAGATACCAACACCTCTAATTGTGGCCCATATGACTTTTATATTACCAAACCTGCATACTGGTCAAAACTGGTCATCCTGGGCTCATTTATAACTCATCATCTCAACTGTCATTTAAAGACAGAAAGTTTTGTTACATATTTAAGTAAACAAATGCCATTATAAACTTTATACTACATAAAAGGTCAGTTCACCCTCAAGGAAACATCATGAATAGCTCCATACAAAGATGCAAAGATTCTATAATTTTAGAATCCTTTGACAAAACTGTCTCATTCTTCCAATGTATCTTTAAAAATGCCCACTCTAGGTATTTTTATATCCTTACCCTTTTACAGCTCATTACAAAGGAACTATCAATCAGTTATATAGCATTCTTAAAACATTTTAAACGAGCCAATGTGGTTTCTTATTACACCCCAGTCCTCCCCCATTACTCCCTTTATTTTAGGCTCTAAAACTCAGGCATTATTTTCTAACCATATGCTACTTGACATGCTGGGGATTATATAACTTTTTTTGTTTTTAACAAAATGATACCCTTTTGGTTTCAGCTTCAGGAGGCTTTTCTTAAATTTACAATTCTGAAAAAATTACTTTAAAACAGAAGCAAAACTAGTGGGCCCAATTAAGTCAAAAAATACTTTAAAAAATGATAAGAATTTTTCTAGAGTTATTTTTTTTTTACCACTTTACATTTGATAGATACATAATAAAAGTGAATTATTTCCTTCCATAACTAAGTTGTGTGAAAGGTGAGAGAAAATAAAGATACCATTAGACTTAGAAATGCACTGTTTATTCTAATGTCTCAGTTTCCAAAATACACAATAAATATGTTCAAGGTATTTGTGAGATTTAAAAAAAAAAAAAAAATCAGGTGCTTTGAATTCATAAACTAGGACTTACAAGATTTGGGAAAATCGATTGTTGGTTACTAGGGCACTTCAGTCCTTTTTAATTTTTATAAATAGGATTCCTGCAGTTAAAATTTGGCAGCAGTATTACCATTAAAGTGTGTATTTAAAAGTTTTTCAGAAATATGAATATATGACTTTGAGGCAGAGTATAATATCTCAAAGAAGCTCCCAATATTCTTAAACCAACCAACAAAAAGTGTGGCTAGAGATTCTTGGGGTTCCAGGCCTCAAGATAGAAACAATCTGGGCGCAAACTTTAGGACAGTCAGTTTCATACAGTATAAGAGTTTGTTAAGAGGACTAGCGTTTTTTTTTTTAACAATTTGCTAGCCAACAAGGACTGAATCTTACATTGGTTCTGTTCATACTTCAGATGTTGTGTGCTGTGCAGCCGATTCTGACTCATAGCAACCCTAAAGCACAGAGTAGAACTGCTCCCACAGGCTTTCCAAGTGGATTCTGTGGGTCTTCAAGGTCAGCGATTCAAGTCCACCAGTCACTCTGCAGAAGAAAATTAAGGCTTTCTGCTCCCATATAGATTTATAGCCATGCAAAGTCTATACAGGGTGTCTGTGAGTTGGAACCGACTCATTGGCACACAACCTCAACATTAAACAACAGCAACACTCTTTATGGAAGCTGATTACCAAGACTTTTATCCCTTAACCCTTGCACCATCAGCATAACTTGTATTTCATGGACTCTGTTGCTGATAAGTGCAGTTGAGTTGGTTCCAACTCATAGTGACCCTGTATAGTTTATTAGGAGCAGCTGGCAGGTTTGAACTGTTGAATCTATGGTCTGTAGTCCAGAGCTGGTCCTGCAGAGTCACACCAGGAGTCCATTTCAGGAGCAGAGAGGCCCAATGTATAATTTATCTTATAATCAATATGATACAATAGCTTTCAGCCTGATGGAACCATTAATCTTGGCTGACTTTCATGCGTCTGTGACTTCAGAGGAAGTGAGACATCTATAGAAAGGTTGCTGTTGTTAACTGCCATCGAGTCGCTTCTTTCTCATAGTGACCCTGCATAGGGTTTCCGAGGCTGTAAATCTTTGAGGAGCAGAAAGCCTCATCGTTCTTCCGCAAAGCAGCTGGTGGGCTCAAACTGCTGACCTTGTGGTTTGCAGTTCAGAGCTTATTCACCGCGCTGTAAATTGGCTGAAAAGTTTCCTTTCTTATTATCAAAGGATGAATATCACATCTACAGTCAGGGCTAGCACATACACACACACTTTTGCTTCTGTAGCCACTACAAAGGCTACAGAAACCAAAGAAACTTATCAATGTTTACTGTCACATCCAAGGAGCTCTGGTAGTGTAGTGGTTACGAATCCGGAAGCTAATCCCAAAATCTGCAGCTCGAAACTACCAGTGGCTCCGTGGGAGAAAGATGAGGTGTTCTGCTCCCGTAAAGATTTACAGCCTTAGAAACCCTATACAGGGTCGCTATGAGTCGGTACCGACTATAACATTCAGCACAAATCTCAGAAATTGTACCCCTCATACAAAAAAAAAAAAAAAAAAAAAAAGGCAGGGGGCGGAAGTTTTCGCAAGTCGAGCGAAATGGCCTGACCCCCAACCCGCGCTGGCAAAGCGAGCTGAGGAGACAAGGCAGAGAGGCCTGACCTGAGGCAGGGCAGGAATGTGGCTCACTCACCGCTGTGGATCCTTTCTTGACGGCTTCCTGGGCATATTCCACTTGGAAAAGATGCCCGTCTGGAGAGAAGACAGTGATGGCTCGGTCATACCTAGAGGCCATTGCTACTGGATTGGAGTGAGTCCAGAAGCGTGCGTCTAACGCAACAGAATCCGGTGGGCGCGTCTACCGCTACCACGTGCTGACGCCCGGAAGTACTTATGCCGCCCCGGAATAAGCTGGGTGGGCCTCCTGTTGCCGCCAGGAAGTCCCGATTCAAGACCCACGAGTTGCGCGCCGCAATTCCTAGAGCCCATGCGACCACCCTCATGTAAGATCCTGGCTGCACAGTGAGTGCACAGCACCGAACATCTCGTTTGATGCCCTTGTTGCTGTCGCTGTGTCTATCCATTACGTTTAGGTTTCTCAGTTACCCTCCACTTTGCCAAGCATGATGTATTTCTACAAGGACTGGCCCCTTCTCACATGTCCGCAGTATGAAAGACGAGGTCTCACTGCCCTGGCTTCTAAGCAGCATTCTAGTTGTACTTCTCCCAACACAGATCTGTTCTTCTGTCAGTCCACGTTATGGTTAATGTTCTCTAAGGAGCTCTGGTAGCGTAGTGGTTACGAATCGGGCTGCGAACCTTAAGGTCAGCGGTTCGAAACTACCAGCTGCTCCGCGGGAGAAAGATGAGGCTTTCTACTCCCGTAAAGATTTACACCCTCGGAAACCCTGTACAGGGTCGCTATGGGTCAGAACCGACTCGATGGCACTTAACAACAAGGAGCTCTGGTAGAGTAGTTGTTACGAATTGGGCTGCATAGAACCTCAAGGTCGGCAGTTTGAAACTACCAGCCGTTCACAGGAGAAAGATGAGGCTTTTTGGTCCCGTAAAGATTTACAGCCTCAGAAACCCTATGCAGGGTCACTGTCAGTCGAAACTGACTCCATGGTATTCAACAACAACACCATAACTCATTGATTCTTCTACCATCTTCTTATTCATTGTCCAACTTTCATGTGCATATGAGGCTATTATTAAAAATACCATGACTTGGGTTAGACACATTTTAGTCCTCTAACCTTTGCTGTTGAACTCTTTTAAGAACTTCTGTGCAGCAGATTTGCCTAATGTAATTCATCATTTGTTTTGTTGACTACTTCCATTAGTGTTGATTGTGGATCCAAGCAAAATGAAGCCGTGGGCAACTTCAAACTTTTCTCCATTTATCATGATGCTATTTATTGGCTGAGTTGTGAGATTTTCGTTTTCTTTGCATTGAGGCGCAATCCATACTGTTGATATTCATTAGTATTTTAAGTCCTCTTGGCTGTCAGCAAGTAACGTTGTATCATCTGCATATCTCAGTTATTGGATTAGTCTTCCTCCAATCCTGATGGCACGTTCTTCATATAATCCAGTTTCTTGGATTATTGGCTCAGCGCACAGATTGAAAGGACTCAATGCTGGCGAACACCTTTCCTAATTTTAAATCATTCAGTATTCCCTTGTCTGTTCTAACAACTGTCTCTTGGTCTATGTACAGGTTCTTCATGAACATAATTAAGTGTTCTGGAATACACATTCTTTGCAATGTTATCCATAGTTTATCATGATCTACACAGTTGAAAGCATCTGTATAGTCCATAAAGCACAAGTAAATGTCTTGTTATGCTCTGTTTTCCACCAAGACCTAATCGCAGTATATCAGCAATGATAATCACTTGTTTTACGTCCTCGTTGAAACATTTCATTTAGTATGATTCCATCATTTCCTAGAGTCTCATTCATCACCACTGACTTCATTGCAGCTTGGACTTTTTTTTCAGTATCATTAGTTCTTGATCACATGCTGCCTCTTGAAAAGTATTAACACTGACTAATATTTTTTCACTATGAGTCGGAACCAACTCTACGGTACTTAACAACAACAACAATGATTTTTGGTACAGTGACTTGTATTTCTGGCAGTTCTTTGTAGATGTACTATTGCAACAGTTTTTAAATTAATTTCAGCAAAATCTTACCTGCATGTGACATCAATGATATTGTTCAGTGATTTCTACATTCTATTGGCTCACCTCTCTTTGGAATGGGTACAAATATGGACCTCTTCTAATCAGGTAGCCAGGTAGCTATCTTCTAAAAATCTTGGCATAGATGAGTGAGCATCTCCAGAGCTACATCAATATATTGAAGCATTTCTATTTGTATGCCATCAATTCCTGGAGCCTTGTTTTCTGCTAATGCCTCTGTGCAGTTTGTATATCTACCTTCAGTACCGTTGCTTCCTGATGGTATGCTCCATCTTGAAATGGTTGAACATTGAACATTTCTTTTTGGTACAGTGATTCCTTCCATCTTTGATTCTTTCTGCATCAAACAATATTTTGCTGATAGATCCCTTCAATATTGCAAATGGGGGTTTGAATTTTGTTCTTCAGTTCTTTCAGCTTGAGAAGTACTGAGTGTTTTCTAACTCCAGATTTTTGTACATTGCTTTATAATACTTGACTTTGTCTTCTCAAGCTACCCTTTGAAATTATCTCTTCAACTCTTTTACCACCTGATTCATTCATTTGCTGAAGTTTCTCTACACTGAAGAGGAAATTTCAGAGTCTCTTCTAACATCCATTTTGGTGTTTTCTTTCTTTTCCTGTGTGTTTAAATGGCCTTTTACTTCTGTATGATGTTTTTGATGTCATCCCATAAATCTTTTTGTCTCTGATCATTAGGGTCTAATGCATCAACTCTGCCCTTGAGAAGGTCTCTAAACTCAGGTGGAATATCTTCTAGGTAATGTTTTTGCTCTACTGGACTTATTTTAATTGCCTTCAGCTTCAGCATCAATTTGCATATGAATAATTGATGGTTTTATTTCCGCTGTCAGTACCTGACTTTGTTTTGGCTTATGATACTGATCTTTTCCAACAGATGTAGTCAGTTTGACTTTTGTGTATTCCATCTGGTATGGTCTATGTGTGTAGTCACCTTTTATGCTGTTGAAAAATGGTATTTGCAATGAATAAGTCATTGGTCTTACTAAATTCTATCATGCGGAATCTAGCATCATTTCTATCATCAAGACAAGATTTTCCAACTACTGATCCTTCCTCTTTGTTTCTAATGTTCACATGCCAATCACCAGTAATTATCAATGCATCTTGATTGTACATTTGATCTGTTTCAGACTGAAGAAGTTGGTAGTATTCTTCCATTTCATCATAGACTTTAGTGGTTGGTCCTTAAATTTGAATAATAGTGATATTAACTGGTTTTCCTTTTAGGTGTGTGGATATTATCCTATCTCAGACAGCATTTAACTTCAAGATAGATCTTGAAATATTCTTTTGGACAATTTGTCACTCTTGGCAGAGTAAATCATGTGATTGTCAGATTCATAATGGCCAATACCAGTCCATTTCAGCTTATTAATTCTTAGGATACTGATCTGTATGTGTTTATTTTATTTTGACAACTTCCATTTTTTCCTAGATTCATACTTCGTACATCCCATGTTCTGATTATTACTGGATATTTGCTGATGTTTCACCTCATTTTAGTTGTGCCCCAAAAGACAAATGAAGGACCCAAAAGCTTTACTCCATTCACATCATTATGGACAACTTTACTTTGAGGAGGCAGCTCTTCCCCAGTCATATTTTGAGTGCCTTCCAACCTGAGGGACTCATCTTCTGACACTGTATTTGACAATGTTCTGCTGCTTCTCATAATGTTTTCATATTCTGGTACTATGTTAGACAATGTTTCTTTGCTATTTTTAAGGTTTTCAGCGGCTAAACATTCAAAAGTAGTTCACCTCTCCTTCTTCCTAGTCTGTTTGGAAGCTCTATTGAAACCTGTCCACCATGGGTGACTCTGTTGGTATTTAATCAAAATACTGTTGGCATAGCTTCCAGCACCACAACAACATGCAAACCACCACAGTAAGACAAGCTAACAGACAAATGGTGCAGATAAATGTAGTCACTTAAGTTTCAACCTAAAGTTGAAGCTCCTTCAGATTTCAAATTGTAATTAATCTTTCTCTCATGCAGTTTAACTTTTGTCATTTTTACCCAAAGTAAGAAATGATAATTTACCAAAATAGCATTACTTCTTTCATTTTCTGCTGTTTGAGCAAAGCAGAACAGATGAGCAAATAATTCATCAAAATAATGCTAATTAGGAGTTCTAGTGTGGTGCAGTAGGATAAACCACTGGACCACAGGTCAGTTTGAACTGCAAGGTAGGTGGCTCAAACTCACTATCTGCTCCTGGGAAACCCTGACAGGATTGCTGTGAGTTGGAACTGACTCAGTGGCACTTAACAACATCAGTGTTAATTATAGGAATTACAATAATACTTTTTAAATTGAAAAAAGTATTTTTAAAAGTATACAACATGAAAGAGATCCATAAATCTAACTGTTGCAGAAAGTCTGTATAACCTTTCATCACATCAGTACCTGTGAGACACCTCTGTGCCTCTTTGTCATCATCAGTAAAATGAGAATGTACACAAAATGTTCTGAGGTTTACATGTGATTATAGTCACTATGAGTCGGAACCGACTCCACAGTACTTAACAACAACATAGGCGTACAGGGACTCCTGTTGTGATGCTGTAGGATCAGCACTGGACTGTGAACCACAAACCTACTAGCTGCTCCTCAGAAACCTTATGCAGGATCAGAAGCAACTTGACAGCACTTAACAAGTCCAAAATACATAGGTCAAGCTACAGGCAGGAGACGCTTCTGGCTCAAAGGAGTGTGGGGACCTGGAAAGTTCAAATGAGCCCTGGTGGTTTAGTGTTTAAGAACCCAGTTTCTAACTTTAAAGTCAGTGGTTTGAATCCACCAGCTACTCCATGAAGAAAGATGTGACCGCCTGCATCTATAAAGATTACAGCCTTAGTATGTTCAAGTAGGATGTGGAACATTGTCTTTGTGAACTATCCATTTGTTGAAGCATCCTAATTGATACTCTGTAAATTCCTGGAACCTTGTTTGCCTTTGGTGGAGCTTGCACTCCCCACTCCCCACTCTCCTGATTAATGATTTGTGATCATAATGCTACCTCTTGAAATGGTTAAGCATTGACTAATTCTTTTGG